ATATTTCCTCAAATTCAGAAAGAGTGCTAGAACACAAAACACAAGAATACAAGTCAGCAGACACAAGTCTACCAACTACCAACCCAAAGTCTAGCAAAAAAGTTGAAACTTTGACATACTTACAAATAGGAATTTCAAAATAATATATGCATATCCAGAAAGCATGCAGGAACGTGGCTAAAATCCATCTACATAGAAAAAAAATTATAAAACACTGGTACAGTGCTTACCATTCCTATTTAATGACAACATTTTGACCTAGAAAGGGCCATCAGGTCAAACGTGAGGCGTAATGAAGACCATTCTGGGTTGAAATGTTTGTGGAAAAAAATCCTTATGCAAGCAGGAGCTGTTTGTAAGCCTAAATCAGGACACAAATTAGGATTTCCTTACCTCAATCTCTCAGATGATTTATTGTCCAAGAGACAGATTAGGCTGACTGAGAGTCAGAGGATTACTGGCCTAAATTTAAAGAGTAAACAATGTCAGCCGTCTGCTTTAAAACCTGAAAGAAAATTCATAAACATGTCCTACTTTAATTCGAAATATTGACTGATAACAGTAAAATTCAAATTGTGATAATTAAACATATACATGATGTAAATATAAAATTAGTTGTTTTTTTTAATTCATAGAAATTTCAATCACTCATGTCATGAAGTCTGACCACTGTACAAGAATTTCTGTTAATGTTTACATGTCTGCATCTACATTTTCCTTAGGCTTACATTATCCAGTGTAAACACGAGTCTTCCAATACTGATTGAATGCAATTTCGACAGCAGGTTTTAAATTTATTCGTGTGTGTTTTCTGAATCGATGGACCTGGAGTGATGTAAAGGCTCGGCGTTGAGTAATAAAAGTGTAACCTTCAGTCGCCGGCTACACGCCGTCCCTTATCACGTGCAGAATGTTTCGACCTTCCTCTCAACCAAACTACAGGATTACGTCAGTTTTGACTACACCGAGGATTGGTCGTGTAAAGGCAAGCGTGTAAGAACAGGAGCTGCGATTGGTCGAATGAGACAGCCTCGCTCTGCAGGTCACTCAGCGTGCGTGGACATTGAGTGAAGATGGCGACCTGGTGTGTGCGTGCGATCAGACAGAGCTCTTCTGTCATAGCGTCCCCTTCACTTGTAAGGTAGGTTTTCGTAGCACTGTTATTGTGTGTAGTTGATGTCCATGCTTGGATAAATATTTTGCTTTGACAAAAATGAATGATCCTTCTGTTGCGTGAGCTGTTCACTAATGAATGATTGATGCTGAAGGACCCTCAGTGTTATATGCCTTCACGTGACAGTGTTTAGACAGCATTGTCTTTTTGTCCTGTCAGATACTTTGCAGATTAGTTACATGGGATTACAGTTGCTTCTCAGTGAAATTTCTGTTGTCTTTCAGCTACCATATAATTGCATATTACATACAGAACGTTTTTCCATTGAGTTCAGGATTTTGGTTTCAATCTCCTTAAGCCTTTGAAAATAGTTTCCCCGAGTTGGCATGGCAATGAAAGACTTGTTTCCAACACGTGCTTGTGTTAAAACTAAGAGTTACTGAAGTGTATACTTGTTGTACTGCCACTGTTTCACTTCATGATTAGTGTAGACCAGTGGTTCTCAAACCTGTCCTGGAGTACCCCCAGCCCTGCACATTTTGTATGTCTCCCTCATCTATCACACCTGATTCAACTCATCAGCTCATTAGTGGAGACTGTAAGACCTGAAGTGGGTGTGTCAGATTTAGGGAGACATACAAAACGTGCAGTGCTGGGGTACTTCATGGAGAGCTTTGAGAACCCCTGGTGTAGACGATCTCTTAACCAGTTGCAGATCTAGTTTGATATGTCAAGTCAAGTCAAGTTTATTTGTACAGCGCTTTTCACGATACAAATCATTGCAAAGCAACTTTACAGCAAATTAAGTTTCTACAATATTTAGTGGTAGCTTATCAGTGGTGACTGTCAATTAATGTACATATGGCAGAAATGTACGGAAAAATCAATTTAAGACGTAATAAAAAAGACGATGAACACTATTAACAGCAATTATAAAATAATTAAATGTGCAAAATAGCAAAATGTGGTAGTTCTGTATGTTCTTTCATACTTTTATCAAGTATGGATTACTTTTTAATTTACAAGAAAATATCTGAGTTTATTTTTCAAATAAGTAACACTAGTTACTTTGTTTTCTTATATATTGACTGACAGCTCTCCTGTCACCATGTTGAGAAAAGTAAGTGAAGCAGAGGCGTATTTTCTTGACCTGGTAAGGACTCTCTAGCCGCTGCATTTTGGACCACCTGTAGCTTTTTTATTGAAGATGCAGGACAACCACCTAGCAGTGCATTACAATAGTCCAGTCTAGAGGTCATGAATGCATGAACTAGCTTTTCTGCATCAGAAACAGGTAACATGTTTCGTAACTTGGCAATGTTTCTAAGATGGAAGAATGCTGTTTTTGTAACATGGGAAATATGATTTTCAGTCATAGGTATCTAGAATCCCATGTTATTTAAATATATCCTACAATAAAATTAACCAGTTTAAGGTTAAATTCTTTACATACTCAAAAGTAAAACTTACATCACCCATTCAGGTTTGACTGTTACCCATAAAGAAGCAGATATTTTAAATTAACTAGAACTTTTTTTTTTACTGGTCTTTACATACAATGATTGTTCATAATGACAATGTCTGTTAAAGTCAGCATGAAATGAAAATGTACTAATAATATTACTGTTACTATTTTTTAAATGCATATCATAGATCTTGTCAATGATTCATCTTGATTCATCACTCGTTTAATTTATTATTATTATTTATTTTTTATTTTTTAATATAACTGGATCTTCTCCATTTTTGAGTGCCTGCCACACTCAATCATCTGTTACATTTGGATGTACGTCACAGTACGGAAGGAATAGTTTACTTCCATTTCATCACAACTTCAAGTTTCAAAAAGGATAAAAGACACACACACACACACACACACACACACACACAAAAGCCCATAGATGAGCATTGAGCAAAGATTCAGACTGTGTACTTCAGTTGGGTCTTTAGCCATCCGAGCAAGTGCCATTGAGATCAGTAATAATGGTAAAGAATGATATTCTACTAATATTATGTAAACCTGCTTTTGAAAAAATATAAAATTATTTTTGGGAGAATTCATCCTTTAAACCTGTTTGACAGCAGCAAACACAACATCTCTTACCATAGATTGGTTGCATAATCACAATGTATATAACCTGTAACGCAAGGGATCTGTTGGTGAATATTCTCATCTTTTAACTTCTCTCAGGGCGACTCCACGCCTCCTTTGCACAGCCGCCCAACAGAAAAGCTCAGGGCCTGGGACCGAAGAAGAGAATGGGACTCAGAAACCAGAGCCCAGTGCAGCTGAGAAAGCCTGCATAGAAGAAAAGACACAACTGGAAGAACAGCTGAAAGATGTTACGGTATTGCTGTATTCGTAGTCTTAGCATCTGTTGTATAGAAGTTCTAGATTAAAATTTACATACAAACTGACAATAAAAGTTTTTCTTGCTATTCATAACCATGTAATTTCCACTGCACAGCCTGACCTTCAATTGCCCTTGAAGTTCACTGAGGACACTTTTATCCATTTTTATTCATATTTGTTTAAACAAATAGCTTTATTTTTTAAGAAGTGCAGTCAGCAGGGTTATGTGTCAGATTAGTGATCTTCAGAGGATTTCCTTGCCTGTAAATCAGCTGTAAAGTGTACCAGACTTACTCAGGATGTGACTTTGAGTCTCTACACCAGCCTAGTCATTTCTTTACATGTGAAGCATTCAGATTAATCATTACAGTTAATCCAACATATTGTCATTATTCCTTGTAATATTCCTATACAACATAAATCTGCTGAGTTTCTAGAATACTAAAACAAATTATTGCAGGTATTTAAGAAAAAAACATTGCAAATAAGTGTTTTTCTTTTATCTTTGTTGAGGGGAGCAGTTTAAAAAGAAATTGGATTTGAAAAATCAGCATGCTGTTTGTAGTTCATTGTCTGATCTTTTTGTTAATTGTCTTTTGCTGAAGGATAAATACAAGCGGGCGCTAGCAGACACTGAGAACCTTAGGCAGAGGAGTCAAAAGATGATTGATGATGCTAAGCTTTATGGTAAGCTATTATAATTATTTTATAAGCAGTTTTTATGAACAGACATTTCTGGATCTGGTCAATTTGTGAAATGTTTTAACTCCCATCTCTTTTCTCAGGAATCCAGGGCTTCTGTAAAGATCTCTTGGAGGTGGCTGACATCTTGGAGAAGGCAACAGAAAGCGTACCAAAAACTGAAATATCTACTGCAAATCCACACCTGAAAAATCTTTATGACGGCCTTGTAATGACTGAGGTGCGGATCCAAAAGGTCTTCCAAAAACACGGTCTTGTTAAGCTTAACCCTGATGGTCAGAAGTTTGACCCTTATGAGCATGAGGCTGTCTTTCATGCACCTATGGAGGGCAAGGAGGCAGGTACCATAGCTGTAGTTACTAAAGTAGGCTACAAGCTGCACGGTCGTACTCTACGGCCAGCTCTGGTGGGTGTAGTCAAAGCCCCCTAACTGGTCTTACACACTATGATGGGTTATTGCCTGGTCAACTGATCGGTTTCTGTAAGTTAGCTGGTCTTAGGCTCCACTGTTTTTTTGTTTTTGTTAAATGTGCCTCTGAGAGGTGAAATCCAATATATTGACAACTGAGGGACAATGCCAGACTAATCTTTGTGATTAATAATGATTCAGTAAAAAAATAGTTATTGGGTATAATATAAGAGTTGAGTGTGTATGAGGTAGAAGATTAACAGAATCTTTGATTGGATGCATCAGTATTCTCTGGAGGATCATCACCTTTCCAGGGACGTCTGAGATCCAAAGAAACGGAAGCTTTTGAATAATCGAAAGCTTTTAAAGAAACACTGCAGCATATTACCTTGTTGAACATCTTTTCTTATTATACTTATTTGCTCTTACATTAATTACTTTACTGAAGAACTTAACCAGTTTGGTGATGTCTATTACAGCAGTTGTTAGATTCCACTTTTTTTGTCAGTGTTATGCAGATTTTTCCATTTGTATGAGAGAATAATTAGTCTTCTTTACAGGACTTAAAGTAATATTTTATCCAAAAATAAAATGTATAATTTTACAATAATTTGCCTATTGGCAGTTGTGCTTGCTAACTTTCACCATTAGTTTCATAGTGTGCAAACCTGATGAAGTATCACACTTCAGTCCACTGATTGTAATAACTACTGATGGGGTTTTTGTGAAGATCTGGGGAAAAGGATGGCCGTTTAAGGCCACTTGAGAAATCAGTCATTAGAAATTGTGGTTGTAATATGAATAGAATTATGCCGTGCTCATGGAAAAATATGAACGTCAAATTTATGGAAAAATGTGAACGTCAAATTTAAAAGGGTATTGGATTCAACTTTTCCATCTAGTATGTGAACAAGCAGACAACTGTCAAATAAAGCATGTACCTCTTTTAAAAATGTAGTCATTTTTACACCTTTGTTGGTCATTTTTGGTGAAATTTTCTTTGCTTAATAACAGACAAAAAGGTTATATTTCAACACTTTAATACAAAGTAGGAAATAACATGACATATGCAATAAAATACTTTCCACATACTCAACATTTTCACATATATCTTTCCAAAATGGACTTTTTAACCAGAGAACATTCATGACAACTAAGCAAAAAAAAAAAAACTTATCGTTTTTAAATGTCACATTGTCTTTAAAAATTATAAAAATGAACTTGCAATAGTGTCTTTTTGTGATGTCATGTTCATTCTCATATCTCTGCTCACATTTTCTTTCAAATTAGTTTTTACTTTACAAAAATAATTATATTCTCTAAAATAGCATAGTGAATGATTTTTAAAGTGTAAATATTAACCCTTAAATAAACTGGTCAATTTTTCCTCAAAACCAATTAAATGTTGGTTGACTAAACTAGTCTTGAATAATGGCTTGGGTACTTTAACCAGTGATCCTGTTTCCTACAACCATAAAGCATAACCTGAAGACTAACCCTTCCTGAAAATGTAAGCACCTTTATACAAATGAAATAAAAAGGCAGTTACACATTTGGTTCATAATATCCTTATTCCTAGTTTCATGAGATATAACACAGTGTCTTCATGCCTACATCCATCATTTATCAAACGGTCACACAGCCAATATCCTACATATGTCTTGGATGAGTTTCTCTCCAAGTACAACTGTGCCCATCTACTTTTAATGGCTTTAGTCAAATATTATTGTGTGGGGTAGTTACATCTATCATAGAAATGTGAAGAAAAACAATCGAGCCTAAATAAAACCTAATATAAACCTTAATCTTTGTACATTTTTGAGGTGGTACAATTTAATATTAAAATATAATATTAATTACAAGCAAAAGGAATAAAAAGCATCAACCAGGGCAAATATGCTTCAAGGCACACAGCATAAGCATATTCAACTATGAATGACTGTTTATGGGACTTTATATGTACCAATGTCTGGGGCAAAAATGACGGTATAAAAGCAGATGAGGACCACCACCTTGTCCTTTACAACAGATTTACCCCAAACACAGTAATTTCCAATATTGTATACATAGAAAAAAAATGTCTTAAAGTTATACTGTGCCTATCAGTTCTATTTGACTGTTAATATATTAAACATTTCAAAACTGTAAAAATTTGAAACCTTTGCATTGGCCTCTGTGAACAGTGCTTTTCTTAGCTTTCTACAGCTTTGGGGTAGACACAAGCAGTCAATAATAACATTAAAAATAATGGAAAACTATGTTTCAGTAACAGTTGTAATCTAAGATTTGGTATTGCATGAAGATTTTGTCAAGGCATTTGGAAATTTAAAAAACTAGTATGTAGTTATAACATTCAGTCTCAGCTTATAAACTGTGAACTTGTTGAGATGAGAACCGTTGATGCTGTATTGACTTGTATCCCTCACATTACCCAACAAATAAGAATAATACCCTCTTGAAACAGGAGCATCGTGGTAAATATTCTCCATTGGTGATCAGCTTGATGTAAGCATCAAACTAATACTTTATATAGCCGGGGTGTGTGCCATTTAACTTGAGCCTCTGAAACATGCTCAATGTAACATAACCTCATAAAGGTTAACTCCAAAAAATAATAATAATCAAACATGAACTTCAGACATTTAGATAGTATGGCGCATGCTTCATGTGACTCAACATTCCCACAATTGACACAACAGAATATATCCAACTAAAACAGGCAAATTCAGGTTAGAACACAGGAACTTTAGACTTTTGGCAACCTGACCTAGTTTCCTTCTTATTACAGAACAAGAAACTCAGAACCAATTTTAAAGATCTGCTTTGTCCAACATTAAACATTCTGTTCATACTCTATTGGCAGGGAACATTCAACACCACTGAAAACCACATTCAAAATGGAGGCATTTTAACGTGGGGCAATGGGTTTTTGTGTTATATTCTGACGTATTACATAGAACAACTTACTGGAAAGTTCCCTATGGATACTGATTAAGTACCTTCTATAACCATGTTTATGTTCCTATGAGGAGATCTGAGACCAAAAGCAGACATGTTAGACTGACTGAAGGCCCACATCCAGTAGTGTGGCGCCTACAGTCATTTTGTTTTCACAGGCTTTTCTGAGATGCAATATAAAACAGTAGAAAAATATATTTACAGTCATTATTTTTACAGCCAAATCTTTGGACAGTGTGGTTAGGAGGCTTCTCGGGATATCCAGCCGCTCTCCGACAGGAAGTTCAGAATCCGTTTTTTCAGCACCTTGTCCAGGTAGCTGGGTAGGCGGCTTTTCGAGGGAATGCCCTGCCTTTTCTGTAAGTGATCTTTGATGATGATAGTCTTGACAGTCAGATAGCGTGTGGGACTTAGGTTCATAGAGTTGCACAGTACCTTCTCCCGATCGGACAGCAGCTCAAAGCCAGACAGGTTCTCGATGGCTGAGAACTCACTGTCCTTCCCCTCCTCTTTGATGGCACTGACTCCTCCACCTCCGCCAAGCCCACCTCCTGCTCCAACTCCTCCTCCAAGCCCGGCCGCTCCTCCTCCACCACTGCTACCTCTCTTTGACCCAGCAATACTTTTATTTTCTTTCCGTTTTTCCCGTTTGTGGCGTGCCGCCTCGTACTCGGCCGACTCGTCGAGTCTCGTGATGCCATTCCGTCGATAACGCTGAAGCTCCCGAACTTTCACCCGCAGCATGCGCTCTTTGTGCATGTTATCAAAGAATTCTTCAAACTCTCGTTGTGGCATGAACTGGCAGAGTGTCCGTAGTTTCGTCCGTTGCTCTTTCTCTTCCTTGGTGATTTTGCGTTTCGGCATTGCTGCTACAGAGGAGCCCAGCGACCCTGTCGGAATAACGGAGGTACCACCTCCCAGTCCTACAGCTCCACCTATGCCCCCAACCCCGCCTATTCCACCTGGTCGTTCTCGCTCTTTATCCTTTTTGTCCCGTCCCAGAAAGACTGGCACTAAATTATAATCACGAGCGATGTTTTTCCGTCGCTGGCGCTCACGCAGCTTCCGCACATACATGTCCACATGGGCTCGTTTCATCTCAATCTCAATTTCTTCATCATCGTAGTTTACAGACAGGCCACTGATGAGTTTCTCAGCCTCTTGGTCATATTCGATCTCGTAGTCATCACGGAGCGGCATGTATCCAAGCTGCTGCTGCTCCGCCACAGATATGTCTAATGGGGGCAAAGGGGTAGTCAAACTAGGAGACAGCGGACCTCCGCTGGGACAAGTGTGGTCTGTCACGCGGTTGGGGATGCTGTCAGGGATGCAGGCTTTGCCCAGATTCCCATGGATATACATGCTCACATAATGGTCCATGACCTCCTGAGGGGTGCGTGATGCACCCACATGGGCTGCCATATCCTCCTAACACACAGAAATAAACAAAGATACAGAGTTAGTTCATCCAGAAATTTATATCTGTCATTTACCCACCCTAATGTTGTTGCAAACCCATGTTGTTCATCTTGAAAACACAAATGAATATGGCAACTCTGTCTCTTGAGAAGACATGGATTAAACCGCTTGATTCATATGGAGTATGTTTACAATGTTTTTATGAACATTTCGAAGCATCAAAGTTTTGGTCTTTCAATTGAGGGACAGAAATCTCATCAGCTTTTATTAAAAATGTCTTCATTTTGTGCCTCGAAGATGAACGAAAGTCTTATGGGTTTGGAACAACATGAGGGAGAGTAAATGATGGCAGAATTTTCATAATTAGGTGAAGCCTTTAACATACAGGTCATAATAATATCAAAGTTACAAACTCAAACATTAATATTATTTCTTAATACGTTATATTAATGCAAATAAGCTATGCAAATATTAATGAATAACAAAGGCAGTGCTTTCAGTAATAGTGCACAGTACAGTTTGTTCTCTCTATAGAAACTCTATAATGTGCAGCTGTAATGAATGACCAAAACTGAGATTCATTTTTGGGTTAGATAATCCTTAAATGCAATATGCACCACACACCTAGGGGATCTGCTTGATTGTTAACAAACTATTTTCTCTAAGTTACTTAAGTCAGCAATGCATAATTTGTTGCTGACTAAACATGACCATTTTGTGTTGATGTGCACATGTGGCAATGCAACATAATTGTATTAAAGCCGCATCGATATAGACTCATTTGAGAATCGTACCCAGTTACCAAATCCATATTGCTCGATGGCATCGAGCAGCGACTGCTCTTCCCTGCTAGTCCATCCTCCCTCTGCCTCGGGACCCCAGAGCGAGAAGCGCCCGCCGTCAACTTGCTGATAGCCATGCCATCGTCTGTGGTTGCCGATTTCGGCACCCGCGGAGAAGCACTCCGGACAAAGTTCAATATCTTGGCATTCGGCACAGCGAATCCGCAAATTCGTAACATCTGCCAGGCAGTTCACGCAGTATTTCTTCCCTAGGTCGGCCATATTGCTTACTACCGCTTGTTGTTGTAAGCAGCAGTCGCTTGGGGCAGGGCATGCGCAGTGAAGAATCTCCGGTCACGCCGCTGCGTCTCATTAATATTAATAAGGACACAGCGGATGCTTGCGATTGGCTCTCGCTGTGAGTGCCCATGGCAACAAGCACGCACCCCTGTACTGACACAAAATAGTTTAGGCCAGCGTGTTTCATGAGCTAAACGGTGGTTATTTTAGAGAAATTGCATGTCATTATTATTAGGTTAATACAATTTTTTTTAAAGAACCTTGTGTAAATTCAATTATATAAAATGGAAGAGGGGTCATTAGAATTAAAACATGAAGAAAGTCTTGTTTTAGAAAATAACATTGAATTGTCTGAGGATCTAACCAAGGCAGCAAGTGCCCGGGTTGGGGAGGAAGAAACTGAAATGACTGAACCTCCTAGTATCTCAGAAGGTGTTGAGGATGATGTGGTCAAGCAGGGTTCACAGCTGGTAGAAGACGTGTCTATTGCTGAGACAAGCGAAGCACAGATTGCTGAAACCGAGTTTGGGCAACATATGATAACAGAAAGGGAGGAAAACGAACTGAAGCAGAAAACGAACTGAAGCAGGAAGACAAGCTGGCATCTGTGTCTCAACAATATCAAGTTCAAGAACAAAATATGTCAGCTTGAGACAGAACTTAAATCTAAACGTGAGCTTGCTGATGGCTTGCTGCTGATGGACTTTGAGCAACTCAAAACAGAGAACCAGACATTTAAAGACAAGCTGAAGAAGCGCAGTGAGAAGCCACTTAGGCTGAAAAGGAAGGTTGCCTGCTCTGTGCAGGTAAATTTATTTCCTGAAAACATCACCAAAACATCGGAGAAATTAAAGTTATTTTTTTTAATTAATGAATTAGTTAATTTGTTTGTTTGTCTATTTATTTATTTATTATTTATAAATGTAATTTATGTCCACCCAGCTGTAATGAATGACCAAAACTGAGATTCATTTTTGGGTTAAATAATCCTTAAATGCAATATGCACCACACACCTAGGGGATCTGCTTGATTGTTAACAAACTATTTTCTCTAAGTTACTTAAGTCAGCAATGCATAATTTGTTGCTGACTAAACATGACCATTTTGTGTTGATGTGCACATGTGGCAATGCAACATAATTGTATTAAAGCCGCATCGATATAGACTCATTTGAGAATCGTACCCAGTTACCAAATCCATATTGCTCGATGGCATCGAGCAGCGACTGCTCTTCCCTGCTAGTCCATCCTCCCTCTGCCTCGGGACCCCAGAGCGAGAAGCGCCCGCCGTCAACTTGCTGATAGCCATGCCATCGTCTGTGGTTGCCGATTTCGGCACCCGCGGAGAAGCACTCCGGACAAAGTTCAATATCTTGGCATTCGGCACAGCGAATCCGCAAATTCGTAACATCTGCCAGGCAGTTCACGCAGTATTTCTTCCCTAGGTCGGCCATATTGCTTACTACCGCTTGTTGTTGGAAGCAGCAGTCGCTTGGGGCAGGGCATGCGCAGTGAAGAATCTCCGGTCACGTCGCTTCGTGTCATTAATATTAATAAGGACACGGCGGATGCTTGCGATTGGCTCTCGCTGTGAGTGCCCATGGCAACAAGCACGCACTCCTGTACTGACACAAAATAGTTTAGGCCAGCGTGTTTCATGAGCTAAACGGTGGTTATTTTAGAGAAATTGCATGTCATTATTATTAGGTTAATACAATTTTTTTTAAAGAACCTTGTGTAAATTCAATTATATAAAATGGAAGAGGGGTCATTAGAATTAAAACATGAAGAAAGTCTTGTTTTAGAAAATAACATTGAATTGTCTGAGGATCTAACCAAGGCAGCAAGTGCCCGGGTTGGGGAGGAAGAAACTGAAATGACTGAACCTCCTAGTATCTCAGAAGGTGTTGAGGATGATGTGGTCAAGCAGGGTTCACAGCTGGTAGAAGACGTGTCTATTGCTGAGACAAGCGAAGCACAGATTGCTGAAACCGAGTTTGGGCAACATATGATAACAGAAAGGGAGGAAAACGAACTGAAGCAGAAAACGAACTGAAGCAGGAAGACAAGCTGGCATCTGTGTCTCAACAATATCAAGTTCAAGAACAAAATATGTCAGCTTGAGACAGAACTTAAATCTAAACGTGAGCTTGCTGATGGCTTGCTGCTGATGGACTTTGAGCAACTCAAAACAGAGAACCAGACATTTAAAGACAAGCTGAAGAAGCGCAGTGAGAAGCCACTTAGGCTGAAAAGGAAGGTTGCCTGCTCTGTGCAGGTAAATTTATTTCCTGAAAACATCACCAAAACATCGGAGAAATTAAAGTTATTTTTTTTAATTAATGAATTAGTTAATTTGTTTGTTTGTCTATTTATTTATTTATTATTTATAAATGTAATTTATGTCCACCTCATTTCAGGAGTGAAATAAAAAATTTTTTTGTGGTCATCAGGAGCATGTTAAAAATGTATTATATATTAATATATTTAATTAATTAAATATAATTACAACAAGGTAATATATCAATTTATATAAAAACTATATAAAAACAAGGTAATATTATTATATATTGTATATAAATATATTAGTAATTAAACAGCTTAATGCATGACTGGACACAAGAAGTCTTTTGAAATATTCATATAATATAGCTTATACAGTATAAGGACCTTACATAATAAGTTCACCATTATCCAAAAAATGCATTGTATTTAGCAACCTATATGGTTTCATTTTATTTTTACACATTTTTTGTCCCACAACCTCAGGGCATTTCCCACGTGAAAGAGAAGCTGTATTTCATGCAGATGGAGAATAACGTCAAACACACTCAACTGGCAAAGGCAGATACAATTGGTGGCTCATAAACGTGAAGTGCTGACACGTACCCGACAGGCTCGTGACGGCCTGCGTGCAGACAACCTTAAGCTGCAACAGCGCTGTGGCCTGCTGGGAAACACCACACTGCTGCAGGACTTTGAGGAGAAGGTCTGCAGCAGAGACTAGAGATGTTGAAGAGACGTCACGCTGAAGTGTGCTGGAGTCAAGCAGAAGATTGAGCAAAGCAAACCAGAGGGCCAGTGACAACACAGGTGCACATGCTTCCCTTCAGTAATTGTGTTAAATATCATGTATAGAGTGTAACTTAACAAAGCTTAAGCTTAAAGGTTAGCACGCAATAAACGAAGAACACATAACTTCCATTATTTTGCTAGACTAACTACTTTAAAGGATGCTGTTGCTGAATTCTTTATTCTAAAGTGCAAAGCAGAAGAAACTCATGTGTATGGCTTTTCAAATCTACCTTATCATTTGACACTGACAACAACATTTTTCATGTTTTTTCTTTTATTTAAATTTAAATGCTTTAAAGAGGTGCATTAACAGCACCCAAACATTTGAGACTTTCACCATTTTTACTGTAGACAGAAGAAAATCGTTTAATTTAGATTTTGATTGGCCATTGAATTAAACTTGTCTTGATTAGCTCTGCGATGCTGTTGCTGTACAACAAGAATTTTACAAAACTATTCATAAGGATATTCATTTGTCGGTTTTGTGTTATGTTGTACTTTATTGGAATTAAGTGTGTAATATAAGACAATTATTACAAAGTAGAACAAAAACAATTTAAGAGTTTCTTTAATCAATCATGAAATTATGATTAAAATGATTCAAATAATGTGGTAAAATAACAAATATGGTGCTAATACTGCATAAGTGAGTTGCTGTGTAGGAATCATGACACTATCAGTAAAATCAAGGTTACTGCTGTATGCTTGCATGCATTCTTCTGCAGTAAAAGTACAGTTAGAAAAAGTATTGACATTTAAAAAACAGGTCAAATATACAAATCAAACTGGCATCAAAAACTTGACACTGTTGATTTGATGTAAACTGAGCGTCAAACATATTGGCCAACATATACATTAAACCAATGTCAGTGTGAGATTAACTTCTTATTTTCACCCAATTACCACTGGAAGAAATTGCCATCCAGACTGAATTTAAAATGATGTTACAACATCTTGATCAAGTCTTGACTAATAATTGATGTCAAATTGATATCAAGGTGCCCGCTGGGTTGTTCACTATCCTATATATAGTGTCATTTGACAAAGCATACCATATGTGGAGCATTAAACTTTATACAAAATGTTTTTGGTTTTCAAATGAAAGAAATACTGAGGAAATAATACACCAAATTTGTAATCTCAAATAGTATCTAAAGCTGTATATCCCAGTTCTTTTCTTATTTTGATCAACACAGTGCCAGCAGATGGCGATATTTGTTACGTCAAGTCAGCCTCTGTATATTCTAATGTGTTCGTCTTCTAAAAAAAATCGATTTTACATATTTGACATTGTGAGTCTATTTGAATTACAGAGGGAAGTGCTCAACAAACAAATAATGTTTCGGAACATGTTTCGGGTTTTTTTCCCAAGCTGTTGCTGCAAGGTGGAACATTTAAAGAATTTTTACAAGACTATACTGCTGACTGCTTCCACTACTAGAAATGTGTTTTCCATTTAACATTACAGGTGATGTTGGTTTAAAAACAATGAGCAGCATATGGCCTCCCACAGGAAATGCAGCTGAAGGTGATATAGGGTCATTGTTGGCATAAGCGGCCGACCACACATTCTAGTGTTCCGCTGACAGCTCTGAGGTGAGAAACTAGTGCTATTAAAAGACACCACCACCAACACTTTCTACATTATACAAAAGACACTGTATGCAATTCTATGGTGATCTTTTAAAAATGTCCAATATGAAGTTAAGAATGCTCATATCCGTAGGCTTGTCTCTGGGTCACCCTTATTTCGTTGGATTTATTTGAGGCCCTTTCATGCTTTAATAATCAAGTATAACTGGTCATGGTTTTTACTCTTTTGGAACTTAAAGGGGTCATATGATGCGATTTCAAGTTTTCCTTTCTCTTTGGAGTGTTACAAGCTGATTGTGCATAGATAAGATCCCTGAAGTTGCAAAGAC